AGCCACAGCCCTCAGGAGCCCAAAGCCTTCCGCCTTCTGTACTGTTTTGCTACTCAAGCCACAGCCCTCAGGAGCCCAAAGCCTTCCGCCTTCTGTACTGTTTTGCTACTCACCTTTAAAGAACATTCTCCTCGGAGTGCAGATTTCCCCGGCTCCCCTGTTCATTGTCTCTGAGGAGACAGAGAGAGTTGAATAACTGAGGCCACATACGATCCCCTCCCAGGACTGTGACTGGAATGGGCTCTGGAGTGGGTTTCCTCCTGGATGTCTGTCAGCAGCTTAGTCAGCCCTGCTGGAAGAGAGCGTGCAGGGGTCAACGCCAGGGTCATTCTCTCTGCATTATCCCCAGTGGCTTGCTCTCTCCATCTCTCATCAGCTGTTCCTTTACACTCACACAGTTAAGATAATTAAACACTTGTGGGCCATCGTGCATTTTCATGAATCAATCAGCAGTTGATTATTTCTGAATGCGCTCATGCAATGCACTCCATGTTTCTTCACCATAGTTTGCAGATGCGCTGGACTGAGCTTGTCCTGGAGCAGATGGAGCTGAAACTGGCCTCTTACCTGCTGGGGTCTCCTCTAAGGCCCCACAGAAGGAGCCTGGGTGGTTTTCTATTTGCAGTGTGTGTGTGTGTGTGTGTGTGTGTGTGTGTGTGTGTGTGTGTGTGTGTAATGATAGTCTGCCCCCTGTCAATTATGTAAGCTTGAGATACCACAGTGATTGAAGGTTTCCTTGGGGAAGGTTAGAGTATTTGCATGAAGAAATGTTAAGAATGAGCAAGAGGCTGTATTTCGTATCCTATGCACCAGATATTGTTGCCTTTTCTCCTGATTTCAGGTGTAGACCTTTGGGTTAGGCCCGGTGGAGAGTTTATTCCTTGCATGGAGGCTAGCTCACTTTCTTTCTCCTCCTCCTACACCGCCATCATCCCTCCTCTTCCATCTTCCTATGTTTCTTGAGTATGGTGGTAAGAGAGCGTTTTGCTAAATGTCAGCAATAGGTGATATAAACTTCCTGCAGCTGAGCACTGAAAACCCCACCTACATTTGTGC